TTAGAGTGATTTTATTATGGTAACATTGGAAAAAGATCTACAAAGAAAGTAGTAGTTTTATTTTGTCAGACATTTCTTTCCTAGATCTCTTGATTAATTTCTAATATCTCTTAAAACTTTCTTTTTAAATTTCTTCTTATTGAACCCTGTTAAAAATTATATTAAATTGAAAAAATATTAAGAGAGTACATTATTAATGAATTTTAGTAAATAGAGCATTTGATCATCATCATCATCATCATCATCATCATCATCATCATCAACCGTTATCAATCCACTGCAGGACAAAGGTCTCCCTAAGCCTCTTTTACAATCTTTTGTTTTGAGCACTTCATTTCCATGTTGTGCCAAGATGCCTCTTGATCTCGTCAACCCACCAAGTGTGAGGATGTCTTCTTGGACGTTTTCAATCTCTTGGTATTCAATCAAGAACTTCAGATGTCCAGCAATGGTCAGTTCTTCTTGCAATATGTCCAGCCCACTGTCACTTGAGGGATTTTACTCTAGTGATGATATCACTAACTCCTGTCATTTTCCTGATCCATGTTATAGGTTTCCAATCTCTCCTTGTTATGCCAAACATACACCTTTCCATGTTCCTTTGGGTAGTCTGTAGTCTTTGGATCTCTGATTTTCTAAGAGTCCAAGTTTCTGATCCACAAGTGAGAACTGACAAGACACACTGATCAAAAACCTTGTGTTTCAGGCACAGGAACATCTGTTGATTTTTCAAGACTATATTATTCATATTATAAAGTCTCTGTAAATCCGCACGAAAAATATATAAATTTTAGGTTTAGCGGTAGACCAACACACAGCAGATGGCTAATTACTTCTCTTTATTTAATCACTGTATATGCATTTCGGTCCTATTAAAGAACCCTCTTCAGTACTACAAAATATAAATATTATAATAAACCTTATGCGAGTAAAACTACCAATGTAACAATTAATATTTTAGTTTTTCATTACCATTTAAGTACACAGCTTGGATTCACATTCCATTAGCACTTTCATATCAAGTGTATTTAGTAACGTTTTCTGATTGTCTATGGTCGTATTTCTAAATTACTATAATAAATATTATTCTAGATTAAAACATTATCTATAATTATTCACAACAATTCCAAATTTTAAAAAATCCCTTTTAAAAAATAAATTTTAAAAAACATTTTTCACAAGATTCTTAAAATGGTGATTAAATATAACTTATAAAATTTAATTTTTAAGTAACATACCGTTTACAATAAATCATACTCTAGGCTTCTGTTCAACGGTCCGTCGTTGGTACAATTCTAAATGACACACCCCCTTTGACTAGCTGT